GTCATCCTAAGAAAAACTGCTATTGTTTCTGACATGAACTTTTTTTTAAATCTAAAATGTGCTGCTATCTTTCTACTATCCAAATACTATGGGTACGTATTATTAATGTCTTTTTCCAAATTATAAATGATAAAAGAGTAAAACCCATAGAGAAATTGGAAAAATAAGATCAGCGGCCAACACAAGCAACACAAAGGAAGGGCTGTGGCTACTGGTTTGGAGCATAAACATTACATAAGCACGCCCATTACAGAGCAATATGAAGCTACCCCTGGAGGCCGACTCTTAGACTCCATTCCCAAGCCAATAATGAAGACATGACTCTGAAGCCAAAATGTGAAGATTCAATCACCTTATATCAGCTTTGGTGCCAAGGGGTCTCTTCAGCAAACAAGCAAAAATAACTTAGATCCACTTTGCCTGAACAAGATTATGCTGTCAAAAGACAAAATATTTGGCTAGTAGTTATAGGTCTCTGTGTTATAGATGGTACCAATTTTATAATAAACTGCCCTACTTAGGAAATAAGTTCAATAAAACATAAACTGACCAAAAATAAATCATTGTTATATGGATAATACATGCACAATTATCTATGTAACTGAACTTTTGGCCTATACATTTCAGTAATATAATTTTTTCCAACTTCTGTAGGGTAATGTTCAATGGTAAGAAGAACAGGGGGATTCAGGGAAGACGGCAGAGCAGGAAGCATCAGGAATCTGTCTAAATAAACTACGCAGCTATTAGACGGGCAGAATGTGTCTGATATAACTATTTTGGAACTTTAAAGTCCAGCTGAAGGCTTGCAACTTTCAGGGGAAGACATATATGGTAAATTGCGGTATATTTCAGCTCTTAGCACAGTAGCAGCTACCCATCCTCCTACCACCGCCATGTGGCAGGCAGCTGAGCACCTGTTCCTGGAACATCCTGCTGAGGAAGTCACAGGGCAAAAGGGACCCTGTCTGCCAAATACTGGAGATCTGTGCTCACAGCTGCTTGCTGCTTCTGATCACAGAGGAGCAGACAAAAGGGTGGGTAGCCACTGCTATTGCACCTTCCTGATTGTTGCAAGCCACTCCCCATCTGGTTGAAGTGACTTCCAGGAGATTTGAAGGGCCAGTACCTTCTTTTTCCCCCCACTTCGTTTTTTGCTTTTTCTTCTGTCAGGAGCCAGATCTTAAAAACCAGGACATTCATAAACAACTGCATATATGAGGAAAATTGGAAAGTGACTGCACATGCCCAGGAAAAGGCTCAGAAAAGACCTGAGAAGACCTTAAGTTTACACCTCAGGCTGATCTCTGGCACAGATACAGCCTACAATGACCAATAAGCAAAATCAGTAACAAAAAAACAGTAAACCTTGGAGAAAAAGGAGAATCTGTTTTCAGAGTTACCACATTACTAGAATCAGATGTCCAGTGTTCACAAGTCATACAAAGAAGTAGGAAAGTATGGCCTTCTCAAAGGAAAGAAAAACAACAAGAAAATGCATCCCTGAAAAACACCTTATGGCAGATAGAGATATGGCAGATACTTCAAAATAACTGTCAAAGATGCTCAGAGAACTAAAGCAAGATATGAAGGAAGTTAAGAAAGCACTGTGTAAACAAAATTAAAATATCAGTAAAGAGAAAGGAGAACCTACAAAGAGATGAAAAAGAAATTCTGGGGCTGAAAAGTACAACTAATATGAAAAACTCACTAGAGGGATTCAAAGGCAGATGGAGAAGGCAGAAGAATGAATCACCCAACTTGAAGGCAGGACAATAGAAATATATATTGAATCTGAAGAACAGAAAGAAAAGACTGAAGTGAGTAAAACCTAAGAGACCTATGGGATACCATCAAGAGGAACAATATATGTATCATAAGAACCCCAGAAGAAGAGAGGGAAAGGGGAAGAGAGAATATTTGAAAAAATAATAGCTGAAAACTTCCCATGTTTGATGACAGACATGAATATCAACATCTGAGGTCAATAAACTCCAAGTAAGATGAACTCAGACCCTGACCAAGATACATTATAATCAAACTTTAAAAAGACAAAGAATCTTGACAATAGCAAGAGAAAGCAAATCATCACATTCAAGGAATTCTCAATAAGATTATCATATTTCTCATCAGCATCTTTGGAAGCGAGATACAGAAGGTTGATATATTCAAAGCAGTAAAAGAAAAAGAACTGTCAACCAAGAATCATAAATCTAACAAAACAGTCCTTCAAAAATAAGGAAGACATTAAAACAGTCCCAGATGAACAGAAGCTGAGGGAGTCTGTGACCACAAGAGCTGCTCTGCAAGAAATGCTAAAGGCAGGCTTGCAGGTTGAAATGAAAGGATACTAGACAGCACCAAGAAGCCACATGAAAAAAACAAATACCCCAGGGACAATTAGAAAAGCTAGTATTATTATAGCAATAGCTTATAACTCCACATTTTGTTTTTTATATGATTGGAGAGACTAATGCATTTAAAATTATTATTGGTTTATGATTTGAGCATAGAATGTATAAAGATGTCATTCTGTGACATCAACACTAGGCAACCACTGACCCATCTTTATACTTTTTGCCTTTCCTAGAAATTTCAAATGAAAGAAGCCATATATTAAATAGTCTTTGCATGATTTTCTTTTTAAATTTATGCATTTTGATACATGTATCAGTACTTCATTCTTTTTTATTGCTGAATAGTATTCCATTGTATGGATATACCATCCCCACTCATAAACTCATCACTTCATATACATTATACCAGTGGTTGTGTAGTAGTGTAACATTGTGATTTTAATGTGTATTTCCCTAATGATTGATAATGTCAAACATCTTTTCATAAACTTATTTTCATTCATATAACTTCTTTGATAAAGAATCTATGCCAAGCTTTTTTTTAACTGGGTTGTCTGGCTTACTTTTAAGTTATGAGAATTATTTATACATTATAGATTCAAGTCCTTTGTTGGATATATAGATATATCTCTAAATACATGCTGCCATTTGCTATATTTTATAATTTTCCTGATGGTATCTATGGAAGTTTATTTTGGATGTTTTAAATTCTCTAATAAAAATTAAAAATATACTTCCAATGACTAGTGAATAAAGAGAAAAAATACAATATAATATTAAGTTTAAAGAAAACAGAATTCAAACTATATTCCTAGTATGACTATGTAAGGTATATTGCTACATGTATGTATATATATATAAATATACATATATATATGCTTGGAAGGGAATACATCAAAATACTAAAGTCTTCAAACATCTGTAATTTTTATTCTTTTCCTTTTTAAACCTTCTTCAGATTCTTACCAATGGTAAGTCAGCATTCTCTGAAAACAACTTGAATACATTTCTTAAAGATCAAACCAGTTCACCATTAGCTACACTCAGGACTTCTCAAATAATCAAGGTTCAAGTAATATCTGAAGGTAAAGGAACCAGGTAAAAGGATAATAAATAGTCATACAAGGTAGGATTCTAGTTTAAAAACAATAGCTAGGATATCTCCTGCACACATCCATGCCTCCAGAACAGCACTGTCCACCGGAGCTCGCCGGAAGAATGGTGATGACGGAAAGGTGCTCTCTGTTGCCTGACACAGAGGCCACCCATGACAGAGCAGTGGTGGCCATGGAGCAGTGGAAACCTGGCTAGTGACTCCACTGACACTGACACTGAATGTGACTGAGAAACTGAGTTTTTTATTTAATTTTAACTCAAATAGGCACACATGGCTAAAACAACATCAGGGGAAAGACCAAGGAGACTTGTGGCTCTACCAATCATTCTCCTGTCTCCTTCTGGTCACTCATTAGTGGGCTGATATTCTACAACCTCTCATCTCTCCCTGGGTATCTACCAAATCATAACTTACAAAAAGATCCTATATTAACCTTCCTGTATTTTCTCTTAAGAATGAAACAAATGAAACATCACTCCTCACACCCAGTTTGCTTCTGGGACAGTGAGGATAACGGGCAAGCAGAAGAGGAGCTGCTGGCCAAGGACATTGGCTAGGCCATGCTTTCTTGCGTGAAGGATTAAAAGAAAATAAAAGTGAGATTTTCTTTCAGTCAGGGTTTGAATCCCAATCAATCCAGCCAGCCAACCAACTAATGTCTCTCCCTCTTCAAGGTACTCCAAGATATTCTGAGTAAAACCACATTGGCCATTTATAGGTTAAACATAATTCAGCTTTCCTTCTACCTAATTCTTGAGGGGCAATCATGAGTTTCTGATCTGGGCTCTTCAGAGCTGCTCAGTCATCTGCTTTTTTTTTTTCTTTTTTCTTTTTGTTTGTGGAAAAGCAAAAAGAAAGGAAAAGAAGTTGAAGTAACACAATTTTAACAGCATCACTCTAGCAAGTAATGGCTTCTGCTTGCTAAAGTAGGCTTACTCTAGCAGTTACACAGACATTCATAGTAAATAATTCTGTCATTTAGAAGCATTAATGCCATGAATTTGTTTTTATTTGCCTGGAATATAGCATGTTTTCCTTTTTGCTTAGGTCACTAGGAAGCTAAAAGGCATACTTAGGGCTCACAAGTAACTCACTCAACCTGGTGTTAATTCCTTCTTATATCTTACAAATGAATTTCACATATATTTTTTTAATTACTCAAATTTATTCCTGAATTTTAGTAATAGCACTTAAAACTTTTTCAAGATTAACAAAGTAATAAAACAGAAATAATAAATACAAATTACTTGAACAGATTTCTCCTAAGGTTTCAGAGTATCTTCTTACCTCCAATAATGTCCAAATTAAAGGAGCCAAGATCCTTTTTTCTTCTGAATTAAGAAAAATCATTTGAACAAAACAGAAGCAGTATCACTTTTGAGCAGTGTGACCTTATTATGCTTCTCTAAACACGTGTAAGATGCAGGCTGAGGTCAGTCAGACCTTTCATCTTTTCATTCATTTCCTAGGCAGATTAATTATCAGTATTTTTCTGCTCGTTTATTGTTTTAAATGATCTAACATACCTTGAATTTTCATGTTCGAGAAAACGTTGTGCTCTCAATTGGGATGCCACAAACAAGGCTGATGCTGTTGCCAATAACTGGTTTCTCTCATTCTCTGTTAACTTGTGTCCTGAGGGAAATCAATCAATTCCATAATAATGTTAACATCTATGCTTTTATCTTATAGAATTATTAGTCATTTGAACAATTATTTTATCAAGCATTTACTATGGAGCTTGTATCTTATCAGGCATTGGGGTAAGCAGGGGAGGGGAGGCAGCACAATTGTTCAAATAAGATAAAACCCCCGCTCAAGGGAAGTTTTTTGTCTAATTTGAGGGGGGGTTATGAAAAATAAATAGATGCACAGAACAAAATAATTACAAATAAGAAGGCCGTCTTCACAGAGATCTCTAGGGAAAGCTGAAGGCTCCTCACACCCAGTTTGCTTCTGTGGACAGTGAGGATAACGGGCAAGCAGAAGAGGAGCTGCTGGCCAAGGACATTGGCTAGGCCATGTTTTCTTGCGTGAAGGATTAAAAGAAAATAAAAGTGAGATTTTCTTGCAGTCAGGGTTTGAATCCCAATCAATCCAGCCAGCCAACCAACTAATCTCTCTCCCTCTTCAATTCATTCTTCCTACCGTAATGTAAGTGGACCTGGGGCAATAGTCTAGCCTGACAAGGTCCGGGAAGACTCCCTTATCCGGCTGAGTGCTGTACAGCAGAGACATCGGTTCTATTTGCACAAATCCTCAAGACAGGTCTCCATACTCCAGATTCTACAGGGTAACACATGTCTCTGGAGAACCATGTAATCTCACCACAATCTAACACTATTTATCACAGTGCTGCGCACAGATAGCATAGCTATTACAAGGAATAGTATGGGCAATTTGAGCGCGGGATCATAAGCAGTAAGATGCCACTTATACAATTCAAAAAAAAAAATCAGGTAGTTGTTTAAATTCACTCCAAAGAAACGAAGTAATTTGAACATTGAGTCTAAAAAAATACTCAAAATAGACCAAGAGTATTCATAATTAGAACATAAGCACGTTCCAGATCTGCAGCATGCTTTTCTGTGGAGCGGCACTTCATGCCACTCAGAGGTGCACTGTTTCATGACACCCAAGGGAAGGGAAAACCGCAGTTATCCATCCCTCTTTGAGACAAACCTAGAAGCTCCATAAACTGTAACAGAGTGTGGAATCTGGGAATTTGTTAACAGACCCCTCAGTGGCCTAATAAACCCCACAATTACAGGCTTTGAAAAGTTCCTGATTTTCCCCAACACAAGCAGTGATGAAAATATCCCCTATGATTCTGTAACTCCACAAATGAGGATTTACAGAAACCAGGCCTGTCTTCTTGAAACGTACAGCCTACAAGCAGTCTCAGTGTGGCCTGGGGACTACTGGGGTCTTTAGGAGCCCTTCAGAGATCTGCAAAGTCAACACTATTTTCAAAATAATGTTAAGATTTGCTTTTATTTCTTATTTTTTCAGGAGCATATCATGGAGGTTCCCTGATCCAAGAGAAACATGACAAGTTTCTCTTGACATCACTGCTCTGATGTCAACATATAATGGATTACTGTTACTCTGAAAATGAATTAATACATATTTTTAGAGTTCCTAAATTTTAATTATAGTATGGGAAATACACCTGACCCTTGAACAATGCACATTTGAACTACACAGGTCCACTTACATGTGGATTTTTTCAATAAATATACTGGAAAATATTTTGGACATTTACCACATTTTGAAGAAACATTTTGTTTTTTTTGCTTACTTTGTTGTAAGAACACAGTATACAATGCAGATAACACAAATATGTGTTACTCAACTGTTCATGTTATCAGCGAGGCCTCCAGTCAACAGCAGGCTATTCGTAGTTAGACTGTAGTGAGCCCAAAGTCCTACGTGGATTTGTAGTGGCACACGGGTTGGTGTCCCAACCTCCATAGTGCTGAAGGGTGTGCTGCAGCAATAGATTTAACCACAAAAGCTCCTGGAGTCTGAAGAGGACCGGTGCTTTTCAAACTCACTCAGGCTGTGCATCAGAATCACACCTGGGTTAAAGGAGAGGTGCCTATACCCCCACCTGCAGAGACCAACTGGTAGTAAGTCTCGGGAGCAGCCCAAGATCTTGCATTTCTAACAAGCTCTAGAATGATGTTCATGTTGCAGGTCTACAGATCCTTTGAATACAACTGTTTTAGATTCATGTCTATCAAATTGTGTAATACAAACCACTCAGCAGTTTAGTGGATGATGACCGGAAAGACAAATTATGTGAGCACTCCACATACCAGTTTTTGTGTTATGTATACACTAAGTCATGATGGAGCATGTATTTCTTACAGTGGTTCACAAAGGAGACACTTCTCTAGACATAACTGCACATGATATATCATCAGCAGAGAAAAAGACAACAAATTTTGGGAATCCTTTCAACTGCAAGATGCTGAATCAGCGTTTCATCGGGTCTCATAAATTGTTGGCTGCACTCTCTCAGACAATACTGAGAAAGGAGGTTCCCAAGAAAGATTCACCATCATTCATCACACCTCACAGGCAAACTGGTTGATGAACATTGGCTTCAATCCTTTTACTGATACTGGAGCAGATTCTCAAATTGTACCAATGACAAATTCCCAATAAATGTCTAATAATATTGAAGACTTGTCTCCTCCTACAATTTAAATTTGTTTCTATGATTTGGTAATTTTAAGAGAGAAGTGCTGCAAAGATCATCTACTTTGGCCTTCACGCAGTACAGATGTCTCTTCTACAGCATGCCTGACACACGGTTAGCTAGGATCTACAGGACTCCTCTAATAGGAAATTTATGAACTCTTCTGAGGACTTCTAATCACTAGCTGCTTCTTATACTGAACCAGACTGTTTCTTTGTGACCTTCATTCACTGATCCAACATCCAATCTGAAGTAACACTGAATACTTGTTCTTTCCTACACTTGTACATTACCCATTGTGAAGGATACAGACTGCAGTTAGACGTCTTACAACTCATTAAATAAAAGAGTTTTATATCCTGACTATTCTTGGGGTATCTAGTCATGTTGAAAAGAGTATTCAGGTCCAAACTGGCAGTGTACAAGAAATTCTATCATAACTGTTCTTATGATAACAGTTCTAGCATGAGACTAGATCACAGACCACAGTGGCACAGACTCCCGCAGGGTTCCCCACGGCCCGAAGCCCCCTACATGTCTGCCTGGCTCTGACTTTGGACTTCCTCTGAATGTTCTTCTCCATTAAGATGCTCCCTGATCTTGCCCTTGCTGAAATCCCTGGCCCAGTTGGTCCTGGTCCATATGAAATTCATTTTCATATTTAGCTTAAATTAAGGGTCTAACATTTTGTATAAAATAAGAGGAAAAATTCCCACATATACTAATTCCTATTTATCAGTTCCCTATTCCATTACACTGATATATTTATACATTTTTCTGTTTTGTGTTCCTTCAAACAATTCCTTCTTTCAGCTTCATATCATACTATTTAGAAACAGAGGCTTGGCAATACATTTCAATATATGGGAATCCAATTTTCCTCTATTGTTTTCATAATTTCCTTGCCTTTCAGAAATTTATGACTACATACAAACTTGTAAATCACTTTAATGTAGTGAACCCTCAGAGTAGGTTCTCACCTGTCAAACCCTGCGGAGGTGCTGTGAGGAGCTGAGAATGCAGCTGCTGCCCCCTCACTGGATGTTAGGTCCCATGAGGGCAGCAAGTTCTTTTGCTTACTGAGGAATCCTAAGCAACTAGAACTTTGGGACATGACGTGTATTTAAATACACGCAGATTCTTCCCATCCCCTTGTCTAGTGTGAAGATGACCCGAAAGAGCCGTGCAACCTGACGCTTGTTTTTTGCCCCTCTGCCGACACTGACAGAAAGGACGCACAAACATAATCCTGCAATTCTGGGATCCCAATAGTGAGGAGGCAGAAAGATAGAAGCTCCGGCCTCATACACAGGACAGACACAGCCTCACACACCCCAGCAGCTCAAGTCTTCAATGGCAGCAAGTCCCTTGTCTTTTCTACTTGAGGTAGAATCTTAGCCCAGGAGGAGTTCTAAGGTTTTTTCAAACTCATCTCTTTAAACGTTCAAGAGCAATTAAAGCTTAAAATCTCTACTGTGCTCTCCAGTGAAGACATGGAATAAGGTGAAACTCATGGTTTAAAAACCCTTAGGCTTTTTGAAATTGTTTTGAAACTAGTTTCCCTGGGTTGCTACCTTTGACCTAATAGGTTCAATAAGTATCAGTATTCTTCTAATTTAATGATTTAATATTGATAATCAATGATTAATATTTTTAATCCTTTGTGGCTCCCTTTAAATCTAGTGTCATAGTAAACAATGCTGACAG